GATTGGGAAGGAGGGCTCACACAGAGTGAGTGGAGCCAGGCAATGGTCAGAGTGGCTGATGCTGCCACGAGCAATCAGAGCACCCACTCCTCCTCGGCCGGGGCTAGGCCCCAGGCTGGGGGCTCCTGGAGGCTCAGGACCCACCCCACCCCCACCCCCGTACAAGCATGAACGCAGGCGGACACGCTGGCCTTGTCCCCTGGGGCACAGGGAGTCGGGAAGGGACTCCGCTTGGAGCACTTTCTCTTTGTGAAAGGCGGCTGTCCCCCTGGCCTCCCCCTCCTGAGCTCCCAGACTGGAATTGTTATGGGAAGCCCTTGGTCCTGTGGCTGCCATATGGTAAGTGCTATCAGTGTTCTTGCTTATACTATTTATACTTCCTGATAGAGGAAGAGAACCAGTGTCCCTCAGGGCTGAAGTCAGGGTGAAGCCAGAAGGACGGACGGACATAGTTTTGGATGTCCCTGCAGCAGGACTCGGCTGCTTACAGAAGGGCTATTCTATACCACACAGAGGCTTGCAGGGAGTGGGCCCGGTGGGACGAGCAGGGAGCATGACTTGGGAGTGTTAAGGGTGTCCTGCAGGGTGGGGGTAAGAATCCAGCTGCACAGCCTGGGGTGGGAGGCGCTGTCCTGACCTAGTTTGTCCCTATGGACACGGCCCGACTTGGGCACTCACAGAATGATTCTGGAAGTGCTATGCATGTTCTGTGTTGACTTGTTTGGCTGTGTTCCAGGAGGTACTGGGGGGGGGGGGGGACTGGAATTTTTTTTCCAAAGCTATGTATTTAAAAAAAATTTTTTTTTAACAAAACAACCTTATCACCTTCAAAGTACTCTCCATGACACTTAATACCTTTGTCAATTCTGCAATTATAATCTTGGAAACACTTTTCAAACTCATCTGTTTAGATGGCTGACAGTACCTCCCTCAATTTTTCTTCATCTCTCCTACACTGTCAAATCGCTGTCCTTTCGTGTCCCTCTACATTCTCAGTGCGGAAAAAGAAGGCCCATGGAACAAGGTCAGGTGAGTAAGGTGCGTGGGGCAAGAGAGACATGCTGGTTTTTGCCAAAAACTGGTGCACTGAGATGGCCGCATGAGCAGGCGCATTGTCATGATGGCAAAACCAGTCCTGTCTGCCACAAATCGGGCCTTTTTTGGTCACACACTGTTACGCAGTCTTTTCAGAACCTCTAAATAGAAAGCTTGATTAACAGTGTGACCTGGTGGAATGAACTCCAAATGCACTATCCCCCTCACATCCAAAAAACAAATGAGCATCACCTTGATCTTACATTTCACTTGATGAGCTTTTTCTGGGTGAGGTGACAATGGCTTTGTTGATGTTTTTGCTTTCAGGGTCGTAAGAATAGCACCATGGCTCATCACCAGTAATGACCTTGGAAAAGTCTGGGTCCCTTCACAGCTGTTCTTTCAAAGCACGGCTTGTTTCCCATGGACGCTCTTTTCCTGGTCAGTCAGAACCCCAGGCACACATTTTGCAGCGACCCCTTTCATTCCCCAATCTTCCATTAAAACTCGCTGAACCGAGCTCCAAGGTCGTCCAGGTGGCTTCCCCATCTCTTCCACGAGCCTTCATCGGTCTTTGAGGACAAACACGCGAGTTTTATCAACCTTTTTGTCTGTTCAGGAAGTTGACGAACGTCCACACAAGGTGTGTCATCAATTGACATCTCACCTCCTCTTTCGACATGAGAAAATAACTGGTACGGTTGAGTGTTTCCCATAGCGCTGTCCTTGTAAGCTGTGTTCAACATCACAATCGTTTCTGCAGCGTTTTTCCTGAGCAGGAAACAAAATTTCACAGCTGCATGCTGCTCTTTTAAATGGGCCATCACAAAAAATGAGGTTCAGGAAAAAAAAAAAAGCTCGATTGAAACTTTTATGAAAAAATTCACTGTGACCAGAGAGAACCTTCCCAGGCAATGCCACTGGGTGAACTCGGAGTGAGTTGCTCAATGCTCACCTAGCAGGAAAATGTGTACTAGGAACGTTCTGTCCAGAGGAGCTTTTTCCCATTTTTGTTGGTTTTTTTGGGGGGGTACCCTCTTGTGTGTCACAGAAAAGGGTTGAAGGAGGCTCAGACAGGTTCTGATAGGCCCATGTTTTGAGCACAGCACCGGGGTGAGGCTGCGCAGTTCCCAGCACGGGCTCACAGGAGCTGAGCTTAGGCTCCGTACCTCCGACTGGCCGGGTACCTCTGCTGGAGCGAGACCATCCATTACAGGTGAGGGCTCTGCTGGCTAGACTGCTCGGTGCCAGATACAGGACTTGATGACCCAAATCTCAGGGAACGGGATCCCTTTAAGAACGTCTGGGAAGTGTTAGCTGACCAGCTGTTGGGTCTTCTCATGACAGCATTTCAAACACCGTGAGCTCACTACCGTCTTAGTTAGACAGTGGGGAAGACCAAGGACATGACACATTCCCACCCACGAGATGACAGGAGACCACTCCTCATGGTCAAGAATGTACCATCGATGGACGCATCAGTTCCATGAGAAATTCTTGAATTTAGTTTTGACCCCATTCTTGTGCTTTCAGCAGTTAACTCCCACAGGGTGGGCCTCCCCTCCCCTCCCCTGCCCCCATCTCCAAATCCTCTCAGGCCAGAGAACTGAATCTTTCCAGTGCCGTGGGGATCCCTCTGGTTTCCTGGTTGAGCCTGCGCTTCAGAGAAGAACAGCCTTACGCAAGATCCTAGGCTCCGCACCTACTGACTGTGTGACTCTGGGAGAGTAGTGCTGCTTCTCTGAGCCTGTTGCTTGGTGGTGTAGTGGTTATGAGCTGGACTGCTAACCATAAGAGCAGCAGTTCAAAACCACCAGCCTGCTCCTTGGGAGAAAGACAAGGTTTTCTATGCCCTTAAAGAGTTACGGTCTCACTGACCAATGGTCCTTTTCTCCCCCTACAGATGCTGTGGAAAACAGGTGGAGGTGTAAACAAAGATCAACAAGTACACAGAGGTTCTAAAGACCCGTGGACTCCTGGTCTGAGCCCAATAAAGACAGCCCTTCACTGGCCTGGCTTGCCCTTCTTCTATCACCATTCTGTCACCACATGGGGACCCCCTCAGTCACAGCCAAGGCCCAGGTGGTGCAGAAAGTGCCCGGATCAAGCGCAGGCCCACAGCGCCCATCTGTGAGGCCTTGCAGTGAGGTCTGCAGCTACTGGCTGGTTAGCTTTTACCCAAACAGCCCGAGCAGCCAGGCACTGCCGCGGCCAGCACCTGCCGGGAACCGGGCTAAAGACATAGGGGCAGAACAAACAAGTGTGTCAGGCATGGGCTGTAAATACTGGTTCAACATTGTGCTCTGCAGCTGTCCGAACAGGCCTGGCGCCTGTGCTATGCCAGGTGCTCCCAGGGTAGAGAGGGGGTGGGATTTACACGGGCAGGGCCACAAGCACCGCCCTCACTGCTCCCCTGGTCTGTAATTTCAAATGACTAAATGATCTGATAAACAGACAAACAAAAAGAGTGGCAGTCTCGGAAAAGCACAGAGGCAGTTCTACCCTGTCCTGGAGCTCGCTATGAGTCGGCTCAATGACGGTGAGAAAGGAGCTTCCTCAGAAGTTCCCCCAGCGGTAAAGTAGGGCAAAGCAGGGGATCTCTGCTGGGAAGAATCCACATCTGAGTCACACAGTGCCTGGCACAGAATGGGCCTTCTGTTCAGCTTGGATCTCTCCGACTATCCTGTCCCTCCACTCCCTCGCCCCCTGGAACCTGACACCCTTTTGTGAGGCAGCATCGGTGTGAGGCAGGTGGGAGCAGGAGGCCTGTGAGCTAGACCTGGCCCCAAAGAACACCCGAAGCCTTGGCACCGTGTCGGCTTCTGGCAAGAGCAGACACTTCACACCAGGACAAGAAGGGCCAGCTTCACCAGGGCTGCCCATGCTGGGTGGCAGAGGGGAGCTCTCTGCCTGGGGCCCAAGTGGCAACCAAGATCCTGCTGGCCTGAAACAGGCGGAGCTCAGAGGGGAGTCTTCTGAGTTAGAAAAATGTCCACTTTTGGATGCAGTTGGAGCTGGAGGGCGGGCTTGCTGTTGCGCCCCCCATCACATCCCCCTCCTCGTGAGGCCCGGGCTCACCTGCAAACTTGATGGCCGTGATGGAGGAGGAGTGGTCGTCCAGAGTCTGCTCCAGGTTGTAGTTCTTCTCCACGTTCAGCACATGGATCAGTCGATCCCGACTGGCCGAGGCCAGCAAGGTCAGCCCTGCGATGGAGAAGCAGGACCTGGGTGCCCAGAGGTGGGGGTCTGGCTGCCTCGGCCACCACAAGAGCTGTGCCACCAGGCTTTCCTGCCCCGGGAATGACAGCCAACTCGTCCCACATCCGAAAGGGTCCCTGCCCCTGCTCTGTGTGGTCTTTCCCTGCATTCTGGGAGGTCAGCCTTGGCATTCATAGGGATGCCCCTTACCCACTCACCACCCCCACAGCAGGCATTCTCTAGGGTCCTGCCGAGAACTCCTAGGCATGCCATGTGAATTCTGCCCCGACAACCTCTGGGTCTCTTCTGAAGCCACTGCCCCTCACTCTCTATGCGCTTTCCCCCCGGGCCCAGGTCAGGCTCTGCTGACCACCCACTGGCCTAGACTGGTTCCTTCTGCTGGCACCGACAGACGGCGCCCACCCTGTGGCAGGCTCTCCGGAGGCAGGAGCTCAGCAAAGGTGTACTGAACACGGAGAGTGAAAGAGAAGGTGGTGGGTGGAAGATGAGAAGGAGAACAGAATGTGGGAAAAGGTCCTTGTTCACTAGTTACCTTCTCCAGGACACAGCCCCACCTAGTCCTGCCCCCAAAGTACCGTCCGAAGGAAAGCCGACGGCAGCCCCACGCCGAGGGAGAGTCTACAAAGGGCGGGCCTGGCCCCTCCAGCAAGCCCAAAGCTTAGACACGCGCAGGCTCTGGGGGCTACAGAGCCAGGACAGTTCAACGGTGAGCGTGAATCAGGAAACGGAGGGTGAGAGGGCAACCTTGTGACCACCAACAACACTGGCTCATGGGCCACAGGATGAGTGACAGGGAGGGCCAAAAGTGAAATCCCATCAAAGTCAGATGTAAACAGACGTCCCCCGACCCGGGACACACCCCTGAAGCTGAGGCGGCATCACCCCGGCAACTTGCTCTTGAATAAATCAGCAAAAGAAAACAAATGGTCATGCTTTTGCTATCATATGTGCACCGGGACCTCCAGAGTTCATGGAAAAAGGAAAAGACAGATGAATTTTCTTATCAACATTTGAAGCCTCCTCGTTGCGTCATAGTCTGACAGGATCTAAATGACAGATTTTTTAGAAAAGGCCGGAGGACCCAGGAGACGGGTATGGGATGTCCATGGCCATGGTCTTTCAGCTTGTTGGTATGCTCCAACGTTTTCAAAGGGACCCCTCTCATTAACACTGATAATCTAGCCTCCCGGGGGAGCTCAGCTGGTTCATGCACTCCTTCATCCATTCGCCACTGACTTCTGAATCTTCTGGGACCAAGGAATGGCATCTTTCTGGTTTCTCAGGGATCCCTCTGGTTTCTTGGTGGAGCCTTGGCATGGCTCGGGGTGCTCAGGGCCAGCAAGGAGCAGTCCTGCAAGTGCCTTGCTTCTTGGGGTCCCAGAGCCCACCCGTAGAGGCCCTAACTGAACACAGGACTCCCCACTGTGACCCACAGCCCCATCAGATGCTGCCTACCCCACTCTATCTGGTGTCTTTGCCGGGGGCCACCCTATGGGGCTCACCGGTCTCTGGCTTGGAGTACTCCAGGCACAGCACCTCAGCATCGTGCGCCTCCACCTTGAGCAGCTCATCCATGAAGTGCAGCTCGTGGATCCTGGAGACAGACAGACACTGCCTGCTGCACCCTGTCCACAGCCAACCCCAGCCCTGGGGAGCGGAGGGGGAACGGGGACGCCCTGCACCGTGCACTCGTCCGAGGATGCCCAAGCCCATCTTCTCAGCAGGACACCTCCCATCTGAAGGGAGTAGTGCCGAGCCTGGTGCAACCTCATGGACTCCCAGGGAAGAGCCATCACAGGGAGTGGGGGCTAGAGCAGGCTGCACCTGAGCAAGTCCCAGGGGCTGAGTGAGGGGTGAGGGGTCAGGCTCAAGGATAGGACCCATGGGTGGGAACATTTGATTCTGACCTTTCTTAAAAGTCTCAAATCCCCACCCCCCCAAAAAAAAAAAACAGTTCTTAATTAAAAAAAAAAAGTCTCAAATCCAGACTTCATTCCGTCCCTGGGATGTCACACATGGGCAACAGGCCAACCAGGGTTTTAATAAGAGACTTGTGTGATCTTAGTCGCCACTTGACCCCTCGCCTCGGTCAACCCATCGGAAAGTGGAGCTGAGGCAGGGTTCACACCACAGCACCGTGAGAGGGTGGCCTCCCTGGGTCCTCTGTGGGAGGAGCTCCGGCTGTCCAGCTGGTGGCGCTCAGGGCTGAGCCTGTCAGCATTAGCAGCCCGCGTCACCTCCGACGGGGCTCTATGCGATGGCTGGGAAACAGTGCCCGAGTGGGAGCAGCCCAGGCACAGGCCCAGGGCAGAGGCGGCCCTCTGTGCTCTTCTCCGACCACGGAGCGAGAGGCGACTGGGTGCTTGCCCCTCTGTGGGACACATACTCTCCAGTCCGCCAATCCCTTCCTTTTCTAATAGCCCCTGCACTCCGGGGACCACAGTGCATTTTCATCCTTCCAAACCTAGTCCCTGTGACGGGGCTTAGGGCGGGACAGCAGGTCCTGGGCTGTGGACGTCTCGAAAACCTCCAGCAGGGGAAGTGAGTGTGCCCAGGGCCACAGCCCTCCCTGCCTCTCGCGGGCGTCCCTCATGGCTCTGGACTAGTGGTGCTGCATGGCTAGCAAACACTAGCACGTGCGCTTGCGAGCCCCTTCTGATGCCACTCTAGCGTCTGCATGCAACAGCCGCTGAGGTCTGTCAGCTACCCTGCTCTCGGCCCTGCTGGAAGCCCCCTCTCAGCTTATGTTCCCAAGGTGGCTGGTTCCTAGACTGTGGCCGTCCTGGTGGGCAGCCGTAGGCACCAACACTCGCCACCCCTGGAGTGCCCACACCCAGGCTGGGAGGCGCATACTAGACCCCTGCCAAGGCCCACTTGCCTCAGATTGCCGCTTCGGTCGCCTGAAGCCAGGTGCTGGCCATCAGGACTGACCTGCATAACTCGCACGCCGGCTTTCACATCCACAGGCGCCCCGTTCTCGATGCCCCGGTCTGGGAAGTGGGACACATCCTGCAGGTGCTGGATGTCATTCTCCACATACACCACCTTCAGGAGCGTCTGCAGGAAGGAGAGGGCCATGGTCAGTGTTGCAAGGAACCCAGACCCTCAGCATGTCCGAGGCTTCCCAGGAGCCAGCCTCCCCTTCTTCACGAGCAACAAAGGGCCAACTTCCAGCTGGGAGCTTCACCACGCAGACAGTCAGTTACCCGCTGGCCCTGACAGCAGGGTGAAGCTGTGCAATGAACCAAGCTCTTTCCCACCTCAGGCCCTTTGCACAGATTATTCCCTTGGCCTTGAACGTTCTCACCGGACAATGCTCTGTATTTCAGCATCACTTCCTCTGGGAAGTTGCCCTGGTGTCCAGAGGCCCTTGTTATATCTTCCATTGGCACCCTGCAATTTTCCCTCACGGCACTTATCACACTTATGATTAGGCCATAACTTGGACAGTTATCAGTTCACTGTCTGCCTCCCTTGACCTGTGTGTTGATACCACAAAGGCAGGAGAAGGGTGTGGTCCCTGCCGTATCCCCGGCCTATTGCACAGCACAGCAGCTGCCCAGACCGGGGTAAAGCTCTGTGTGGATAAAGGAGTGACTCAGGCCTCAGGTCCCCAGAGCAGCTCAATAACTACCCTCGTGATATCAGCCGTTTCTTCAGCAAACAGTTTTCACCCAGTTCCCTATTCGTTCCCTGCTGTGTGGCAGCTCCCCAGATAGGGAAGGGAGGTCCCTGCGTGCTGGCCCATGGGATGTCTACAGGAATTCTGACTTAAGACTTGGGGAACGCATCTCTCTGCTGAAAGGGTCAGGCGCCTGGGCTGGCCTCACCCACGTGTGCCTGGAGCTCAGCCAGTGACTGGCAGAGGACAGCCAGGGCGAGGGAGCGAGGGTGTGTAATGAGAGGGCGGGAGACAGAAGCGGTCCACTTTGATTCCGGGCTCCTGCTCCTCCTGCAGTTTCACACCTCGGCTCTGTAAGCCGCTCCGGGCCCCATTCCTAGTTTAACGTCGGCTCTTTCCTCCTCAGGGAGAGTTCAGAGTTCATGCTGAAGCCACTCACGTTGCTGAAGATGTTTCTCTTCCAGTGAGAATCAGGGCTGCTGTCCATATTCCAGAAGCGAATGGTGTTGTCTGAAGAACAAGTCAGAAAAGATCCTGATGGCAGACAAGCCCTCTGATCTTCAAACTCGGGATACACCTACGGTTCCCAGAGAACAAGGCAAAGAGTGGACCATCACAACCAGCTCAGCGAGCACGATTTGATAGACCACTGGTGTATTGGGGGTAAACCTGCAGGTCAGCAGATCTAGTGTGACAGCTATCTTAAAGATACACTAAAAGAAACAAACGCAAATTACTACCATATAGTATCCATGGCCCATTGTTAGACCAGATTTTAAAACATCCCCACAAAAAATTTTTAAAAAGAGGAAAGAAAGCTCACTCAAAAATCAGTAAGCAATAAAGGAAATAAAATAACATGGTAAGAACAGCAGCAGAAAAAGAAAAGGAAGCAGCAGAAATAACACCGAGACTAGTACAGACTTCAAATAATGGCTCTTTTTTTGGGGGGGGCCTCTTATTTATTTATTTGTTTGTTTGTTTATTTATTGTTTTTTTTAAACATTTTATTAGGGGCTCATACAACTGTTATCCCAATCCATGCACACATCAATTGTGTAAAGCGCATTTGTACATTCATTGCCCTCATCATTCTCAAAACATTTTCTCTCCATTTAAACCCCCGACATTAGGTCCTCATTTTTCCCTCCCTCCCCGCTCCCCCCTCCCTCATGAGCCCTTGATAGTTTATAAATTGGTATTTTGTCATGTCTTGCCCTGTCCGACGTCTCCCTTCCCCCACTTTTCGGTTGTCTGTCCCCCAGGGAGGAGGTCACACACAGTTCCATGTAATCGGTTCCCTCTTTCCTACCCATTTAAGAATTAAAATCAACTGTCTGATTTGAAACATCTGCGAGAGCTAAAGGAAACTGTGGACTCTGTCTGCTAAAGCAGACCGGAAGAACAAAGGCTTACCCCATGGAGAACATGAATCAAGAGAGAAAAACTCTAAAAGTAAAAACACTCTGGCTGGAGAGTACAATAAATTGAAATGAACAAAATTCACTGGAACAGTTCAGTAGCAGATTTGGGCAGACAGGATAATCAGTGAACCTGGAGAGCCATCCACCCTCACAGCCACCGAGTGCATGCCAACTCATCGTGACTCGCGAGGCCAATTAGCCTCGCTCCCAGGCTTTCCAAACGAAGCAGACAGCTTCATCTTGCTCTCGCAGAGTGGCTGCTAGGTTCAAGCTGCCACCTGTGATTCGCCGAATGAGCCCACAGCGTCTCCGACCACCAAGGTAACCGGAATCGTTTCATGTCAGGGCCAGGAAACAACAACAGAGAATGAGGAGAGAGCAGAGACCAAAGCACCTGTGGGGCACCCCCACTCAGCGCAGCCGAGCACAACACAGCTTTCCCAAGAGGGAAAGAGGCAGGCAAAAAAGAGTAACTTAAGAAACAATGAAGAAGAAGAAAAAAAAAAAGAATGAATAAAAAGTTTCTACAGTAGAATAAACTCAGAGATGCACACCAAGTCCTCTTACAACCAGATCACTGAGAACCAAAGACAGTGCACTGGAAACAGTGAGCAGAGAGAACTCATCACATACCCAAAATCTCAGTCAGATCAACGTTTCCCCCCCATGCTGGCCTGGTGGGAATAAAGGAGTCCTAGAAAGTAACTGAGAAGAAATAAAGTTCTGCAGTAAACGGAGCTACCCGGGCACATATAAAAGGCAGTATTATAGTACTTCTGACTTGTAACTCCAAATTCCCTACTGATTTAAGTGACAAAAACAAAAGTAAATTATAAATCTGTGCAATGGCTGATATATGAAGGTGTAATCTATGGCACAAACAACGTCAAGGAGGAGATGGCGCTGTATAGGGGCAGAGCTTTTGTATGGTATTGAAGTTACGTCGGTATCAATTTCAACTAATTTGCCGCAAATTTAGGAGGTCAAATATATTCCCTGTGGTAACTATAAAGCAACTTAAAAATACTCAAAAAGGAAGCAAGAAGGGAATCAAAAGAATGAACGAAACACACAAGGCGGCAGCAATAATAACAAGTAAACGGTAAAAACGGAACAAGAAACACAGAAACAAATAGCAAAATCAAGTTCTTCACTATGAACAATTACTTCAAATGTAAATGTAGTAAATCCTCCAATAAAAAGTCAGAGGACAGCAGATGGATAGAGAAACATGAGCCAATTATATGCTATCTACAAGAGACTTGCTTTAGAATCAAGGAAATAAGTACGTGGAAAGAAAAAGATCCCGCCCCCCCACCCCCCAAAAAAACCTCAACAAAACTCACTTCCATTGAGTCAATTCTAACTGACAGCAACCCTACAGAGCAAGGCAGAGCTTCCCCTGTGGTGTCTGAGACTGGAAATCAGAAGTAGAAAGCCTCATCTTCCTCCCATAGAGCAGCTAGTAGTATTGAACTGATGATCCTGCAGTTAGCAGCCCAATGTATTATCCGCTGCACCACCAGCACTCCTCAGAAAAAAAGCCATTCCATGCAAACAGCAGGCAAAAGAGAGCTGGGGTTGTTACACTAATATGAGAGATGTATACAGTATATTGATAAGAAAGGGTCAATTCATCCAAAAATAACAATTATAAGCATTATGTATCATCAACAGAGATTCAAAGTAAACATTGACAAAGGAAGAAATAGACAATTCTACAATAAAAATTAGTTCCTATGCCATTTTCAGTAATGGACAGAACTAGACAGATCCGTAAGAAATGAGTTGACAGATACCGTACGAAGACCTGGGGGAATAGTGGATGATATGTTGAGTTTCTAACCACAGGGTCAGCACTTTACTCCCATCGGTGGCTCCAAGGGAAATGATGAGACTTTCTGCTCCTTTGAAGATGTACCGCTGCAGACACCCAAAGGGACAGTTTTATTAGCCCTAGAGGGTCGCTAAGAGTTGGAACCGAATCCATGGCAGTGAGTTGCTTTTCCCGCCACAGAACACAGAACCGACTAGAACTAATCAACAACATATATGAAACAGCGGAATGCACGTTCTTCTCAAGTGCATACAGAACATTCTCAGGATATACCATATGTTGGGCCACAAAACAAGAGACTGGCATTAAACCAAATATCTTCCCCAAACACAACGAAAGGGAAATAGAAATAAGAAAAGAAAAATTGGAAAATTCACATTTGTGGAAATTAAACAGCATGCTTTTAAACCTTCAGTGGGTCAAAGGATAAACCACACGACAAATTAGAAAACACTTGGAGATAAATACAAAAGAAAACACAACATACCAAGATTTATGAGATGTAGTGAAAACAGTGTTCAGAAGAAAATTTATAGCTGTAAATACCTAAAAGAGTGAAGGCAAAGCGGGTGAATAAGCAAATGTGGTGAAGAAAGCTGATGGTGCCCGGCTATCAAAAGATATAGTGTCTGGGGTCTTAAAAGCTTGAAGGTAAACAAGCGGCCACCTAGCTCAGAAGCAACAAAGCCCACATGGAACAACGTATCAGCCTGTGTGATCACGAGGTGTCGAATGGATCACTGAACACAAATGGGTGCATAAGCAAATGTGGCGAAGAAAGCTGATGGTGCCCGGCTATCAAAAAATATAGCGTCTGGGGTCTTAAAAGCTTGAAGGTAATCAAGCGGCCATCAAGCTCAGAAGCAACAAAACCCACATGGAAGAAGCACACCAGCCTATGCAACCACGAGGTGTCGAAGGGATCAGGTATAAGGCATCATCAGAACAAAAAAATCTTACCATAGTGAATGATGGGGGGAGTGCGGAGTGGAGACCCAAAGCCCATTAGTAGGTCACTGGAGATCCCCTTGCAGAAGGGTCTCGGGGAGGAGACAAGCCAGTCAGGGGGTGATGTAGCAACGATGAGAAATACAACTTTCCTCTAGTCCCTAAATGTTTCCTCCCTCCCAACACTATCATGATCCGAATTCTACCTTGCAAGCCTGGCTAGACCAGAGGATGTACACGTTACAGATAGGAACTGGAAATCCAGGGAATCCAGGGCGGATGAGCCCTACAGGACCAGTGGAGTGAGTGGCGATACTGGGAGGGTAGAGAGAGAGTGGGTTGGAAAGAGGGAACTGATTACAAGGAACTATATGTGACCCCCTCCCTGGGGGACGGACAACCAAAAAGTGGGTGAAGGGAGATGTCGGACAGGGCAAGATATGACAAAATAACAATTTATAAATTATCAAAGGCTCATGAGGGAGGGGGGAGCGGGGAGGGAGGGGGAAAATGAGGACCTAATGCTGGGGGCTTAAGTGGAGAGGAAATGTTTTGAGAATGAGGGCAATGAATGTACAAATACGCTTTACACAATTGATGTGTGTATGGAATGTGATAAGAGTTGTATGAGCCCCTAATAAAATGATTTAAAAACAAACAAACAAAAATACCTAAAAGAGAAATATATCAAATCAATAACTTCACACCTTATGGAACTAGAAAAAGACGAGCAAATTAAATCCAAAGCTAAGAGAAAAAAAGGATATAATAAAAATCAGCAGATAAATAAAAGGAGTAGAAAAACAATCGAGAAAATCAACTGAGGCACAAGTCACAACTCTTTAGCTAGACTAAGAAACTAACTCAAAACCCTAAGAGGCCAGGCTTACAGGTTTGGCAGACAGATGGGACCCCTGAAGCTATTGCCCTTACCCTTTATGTGTGACTGTCAGACTAAACAACCACTGAAGAGCAAATGGTAACATCTGTGCAAGGACAAAGGTCAGAGGGTTAAAGAAGAAACAGGCGCACAGGGACGAAGTGGGTAAGTGATGGTGCACTGAAGGTCTTGGGATGGATGACTTCTATCAGATGGTGCATGAACTGCTGTAAGATGACGATAGGCTCTGTAATTAATCCTTTACCTACGTGTGAGGAGGGAAAAAAGCTTCCTAAAAGAATGGATAAAAAAAAAAAAAAAGAATGGATCAAAGACCCAAATGTAAGCGCTAAGACATAACGTGCTTGGAGAACACGAGCGTACATCTTCATAACCTTGGATTTGGCAATGATTTCCTATATGGCACCAAAGGCACAAACAATAAAAGAAAAAATAAGTGGAAACTCATCAAAATTAAAGGCTTTTGTGTGTGGATGGGCATTTTCAAGAAAGTGAGAAGACAATCTACAGAATGGGAAAATACATTTGCAAATCATTTATGAGGACCTAGTATCCAGAATCTATTTAAGAACTCTTACACCAAAATGCAAAACAATCCCATTAAAAAGAGGACCCCCAAAACTGTGAATTCACATTTCTACAGACACAAAGGAGCTCCAAACACGATGTGGAAAAATTCCACTATCTTTTAATTCTGTTTTCTACAAACTTTTTGAAGCCCCCCACCCCCACCCCATAGCTACAAAGAAAGCCAACAGGCAAATGAAAAGATGCCTAGTCATTAGTTATTAGGGAGATGCTAATCAAAACCACACTGAAGTTCCACTTCATGCCAACTAGGAAACCTTTAATTTTTAAATGGAAAACAAAAAGTGCTGGCCAAAATGCACCAAGTTGGCACCCTTATCTGGTGCTGGTGGGAATGGTAAGTGGTGCCCTCTAAGGAAGTCTGAAATGATGAAGATGTTCTGGAAGCAGCAGGGATGACTGCCCAACATCGTCAATGTACTAAGTGCCACTGAATTGTGTACTTTAATTGTGTGCTATTATTTTTACACTAATTTCTTTTATAAACAAAATTTTAACTGAAAAGCCACAGTAGATGGGAAAAAGGAAGGATCTTACTTGGTGGAGTCCAGTGACATCTACAATAGTTGAACAGACACTTACGCATTCTAGGGCTTTATATCTTCAGCTGCCTTCTATTTCTACACTGCTTCTTATAAAACCCCAATTAAGAAGATTGGTTCAACCATAAACCTAGTTCCGAATTTTTATGCCAGGGGAAAATAAAAACAACACTCCAAATTTGCATATTAATATTTTATAGCCTTCATTAAAAATCTTTTGTTTAAAGCACAATGCCCATTTGAATGGCAAAAAAAGCAGCAATACCTAATTATACTTAAACGTTATTCATTATAGGGGAAATCTTTTTTTAGGATGATGTGGAATGTACTTGTTCAATTGTATGCTTTTGCAGTGTGTTTGCCCACCAATTAAAGGGGACTTCAAAAAGGTCACAGAGAAAAGGGATGATTGTGGAGTTTTCGCAAGGTCTTTTTTAAGCTCCCTCATCTAAACCTGTGTCCCTCCCAAAAATGATACTCACAGGGAGAGGAATGGCTACATGATCAGATCATGTAGGTCAAGTACGAGCTTCAACAACCAGAAAGAACATATGGAAACAACCATTCTTAACTATTTCTAGAATTCAACAATTATCTTCATTCTTGGACTGTCGTCTGTGTAATGAGGGGAGAAACAAATGAAGAATTGGGCATACTGTAGTTCCATCATCCCCTGTGGCCTTGAGTACTGGACTTCTTGAAGGACCAAGGAGCTACAGCAATATGGTTAAATTATATCTAGTTAAATATATGAGTTTACATAATATCATATAAGACGACGGATTACTTATTAGCTGTAGAACCTATAAGTAGAGGAAGAGAATCCGGCACTGATCCTGGCTGTTCTATAGAAGCTGTCCCCGGTGGGGACCCCATGGATGACTCATCACGATGAAGGGCATGTCTCCTGGGAGAAGTGACAGAGTGGCACCACATGACAATCTCCAACACAGACGAGCCTACTCACCGAGCACCGAGAGCTGCTAATCATAACTGATAACTTGTCCAGGCCTTTCTGTGGCTATTCTAGACTTCTTGATTTCATGGTTTAAAAACTTTTTAAATGGCATCAGAGTTACACAAGGATGATAATGGGGTAGAAGCGGCCATTTCTAAGTAAGATGCCTCCAGAACTGATTAAAAGACCCACCAGCAGATACTTTTGTTGCTAGAGATATATTTACACACACACGAGGGGCTTCAAAAAGTCCATGGACCTCATCTAATTCACAAGTAAAAGAAAAATCATGGAGAAAGTGAATTGACTAAAAAATGAGGAGCCAATACCAAGGGCTCAAGTAGAAAGCAAATGTTTTGAGAATGATGATGGCAACAAATGTACAAATGTGCTTGACACACAATGGATATATGGATTGTGATAAGAGTTGTACGATCCCCCAATAAAATGATTTTTAAAAAATGAATTGACTTTTAATTGCATTTTTCATGCACTTTTGGAAAACCTCGTATAGATGTATATACATACCTACACACACACACTTACTTTTTAAAATTTTAATAAACCTTTTATTGGGGGCTCTTATAGCTCTTATAACAATCCATATGCCAATTGTAGTAAGCACATTTGTACATATATTGCCATCATCACTTTCAAAATATTTTCTTTCTATTTGAAGCCTTGTTATCAGCTCCTCTTTTTACCCTCCCTCCCCCACCTCATGGACCCCTGATAAATGAATACATCATCTGAAAAGAGCAGGTGAGTATTGGAGGAGGGTGGCAGGGTGAGGAGGTGCTCAAAATAGGGGAGGGATGGGTCACCGGGAGGAAACGTAGGTTTTAATGTGAAAAAAATAAAATAAAATAAAAATTGCTTCATGAAAACAAAAACCCTCTAGATTCCTTAACTCTCAGATCTACATATTGGTCTGAGGGGGCCAAAAAAAGGAAAACTGAAGTGGTCTTGGGGTCTTTAATGACATATAAACTCATGTTAAACATTAAAAGAGATTTTGGTTGAACATTTTTAAAAAAACCAAAACAACAGTCAAATGTACCACCACTCAGCCCATTCCGACTCATGCAGCGGATAGGGTTTCCAAGGCTGTAAATCTTTATGGGCGCAGACAGCCTCCGCTTTCTGTCTTGGAGTGGTGAGTGAGTTTGAACTGCCGACCCAGTGGTTAATCCAACACATACCCAACAAAGTCTCCTGAAAGATGTGACTGTTTCCCAAGGGGAATGCATTCATATATAAGAAAAAAAGTTCTTGAACACATTCTTGTTTCAGAAAAGTGTTATCGACAGAAACCTCAGCTGTGTAGAGGCAGGGGGATTACCGCAGTCAGAGGCCTGACATCATGGCTGGATTCCCCCACCAGACCATTGGCTGCTGGGGACTGGACTGCTTGTCCGTTTTCCTTCCAGCTGTGCCCCAGGCTCTAAAGCAGAGCCAGAACAGAGCCCACTAAGCATCTGTTGAAGGGGAGCTTGGCTGGAACTGCGCAGGGCGGAGGGAGGGTGAGGGCGGGGCTCACCTCGACGCTCCAGACGTAGGAGCTGTGGAACAGTTCTGACCACATCTTGCTCACGCTGTGGATGTCCTTGACATCCCAGATGTAGATGCTGTGGTCTTTATACACGCACGACAGCCACTGGTGTGTGGGGTCAAAGGTCAGCGCCACCGTATCTGGGTAAACTGCTTCAGCCTTCCTGCGGAAGAGGAAGCTAACAAGGCCACAAAGGATCAGCAGTCACCATCCAGGTCCCTGGGAGGGGTGACATCCAGGTCTGATGAGCCACCAACTGCCCCCTGCCTGGCAATGCCATCTTTCATGCTATTTGCAGTCCGTCGTCTCTCCTGCTCCCAGGCCACAACTCCGGCTGCCTTTGCTGTGTCCCTAACAAGAAGGTGGAAAACTAGAAGCTTCTGTCTGGCATCGGACAGAGGGCACTTGAGCTTCTCAGTCCAGTTAACTTTTCCCCTCCCCTCAGCCCACCCAGCCCCAGTTCCCATTCCCCCTCTGAACGGGGGAGGATGGGCGGGCATGTACCTCAGGCCTGGTCTCTCCTTAGCTCCACCAGCACAGGAGCCAACCCCGTGCAGGGGGCCGGGGGGGCTGTCCTGCACAAAAGCCCCACTTCACGGAGCACTTACTAGGGGCAGGCTGAGAGCTAACTACCACCAGAGGTAGACACTGTATCTTACAGATGAGGAATCGGAAGTACAGGGGGAGCACCACACCCCACCCAACGGAAGAGTGTCACACACCAACCATTGGTAAAGAGGGTCCCACACACCCCAAACGCCCTGGTCAGACACCTTCCTTCGACTTAGAACAAAGGGGAAGGATGCCACAGCTTAGCCTGCCCCCGTCCCAGCATGACAGCCAGAGACCTGATCCACAGGCCTGCTTCCCGTAACACCAGTGCCCGTGGCCTCAGCTCAGACTACAGCTCCTTCGGTGGATCTACAGGCTGGGGCAGACTTCCTCTCCTATCATCCTTTCTCAACACACAGGCATAGTCAGTCCCTGGCTATTCCTGGGACTTGCCAAGCTCAGGGTGCTGAGTTGCTTAAAGCCAGTGCACTCATCCCCGCTGTCTGGGACCCAGCTCTGTGCGCCTTCTCACCAGACGCTCCCCTCAACAGAGCTCCCCACCCACCCCAGGCCCTCTTCTTCAAGTCCTGCTGGGCTCCTCCACCACCAGCACAGGACTGCCTGGAAGTCTGGCCCAGAGCCAGTACTCTGCAGCCATTGAATCCAGGTTTCCCATGTGGATGGATATATCTGATATATTTGTGCTCCAGCGAGGTTATTCCCTTCACAGCACGTGTCTGAGGTGATCTGGTTCATCCCTGTTTCCGGAGTCTTTGTGGCACAGTGGTTACGCCTGCTCACCTCTCGAGAGCGTGGCAATCTGCCCCCACCTGGCGGTTCTGTAGGTGAAAGATCTACCCCGCTCAAGATTAAACCAAAACCAAACCAAACCAAACCAAACGTACGGCCATCAGGTCGATGCCGACTCCTAGCAGCCCTAAAGGACCGGGCAGAACTGCCTCTCTGGGTTTACGGGAGTAGAACTCCGTCCTTCTCCCGTGGAGCAGCTGGTGGTTGTGAACAGCCCAATGCATAACACTAAGCCACCAGGGCACCCACACCTGAAAAATGTCTGCTAGAACACCCTATGGGGGATTCTGCTCCACCACACGGAGACACTATACATTGCAATCAACTCAATGGCACTTAACAATGACCACAGCACCCCTTTTGTTCCTCGGTCCCCCTTGCCTAGCCTCACCCAGGGCCTTGCCTTGTTGGCTCTGTGCATTGCTAGAATGCCCACCAGGCTCTAAGAGAACCCCTCCTGCTTGCAGGATGGACAGATGGGTAGGCAAATGCAGACGCCTGTGGACAGACTCGGGGCAGTACCTGGGCTCCAGTCCCTGGGCCACATCCACCCCGAGGTAGTGGGGCTTGGGCAGGTTGGCGAGGTACTGCAGGCTGTCGGCCTGGAAGATGCGGACGATCCCGTCTGTGCAGCCGCAGAAAATGAGCTCCTCGCTGACACAGAGGCACGAGGACAGGGAGACCTGTGGGAGCAAGGGGGACCCAAGTCAGCTGGGTGCTGGGTATGGCCCAGCCCAGGAGCCGAGGGAGGGCCTCAAGAGATGCCCAGTGGAGCACATTTCACAATGTCAGGGATCGGGGACTTGTCACTCTGGAAGGAAAGGTGGCAGCAGGCAGAGGTAGGGGGCCGTGTGTAGAAAACAAACAGCCACGCAGCCGGTCGCTGGCAGGAGCCCTGTTGATTCCTGCCTGGAAATGGGATTGCCAGTCGCTTACAGAGGACTCCAGAAAGGTGACATTTCAAAGCTGGACAGAAGACAGGACACCTGGTAAGAACTTCCTACCCTCACAGGGCATGCAGGCAGGAGGGGCTGGAAGTGCCAGGCCTTAGAGCAGTGGTTCCCAACCTTCCTCATGTGGTGGTGACCCCCCCAACCATCAAATTATTTTTGTTGCTACCTCATCACTGTAATTTTGCTACTGTTATGAATCGGGCGACCCTGTGAAAGGGTCGTTTGGAGAGAGATGATGGCAACAGATGTGCATATGTGCTTGACACAATGGATGTATGTATGGATTATGATGAGAATTGTACGAGCCCCCAATAAAATGATTAAAAAAAAATTTTTTAAGGGTCGGTTGACCCCCAAAGAGGTCATGATTTACAGGTTGAGAACCGCGGCTTTAGAGGGAGATTAGAGGAGTTCTCCCCAAATGAATGGAACTGAACTCATCAGTCATTGGAGAAATCTGCTCAGGCACTAACCCCCGTGTGTCCAAAGCTGCTGACTTGCTTAAAACATTATCAGGTCTAGGAAGGGAAGTCAAGGAAGGGAAAAAAAAATCAAACGGAGTTGAACTGACAAAACTCAGGATGCTTCTACACGGCCCATCATGCCATCAACCTCGAAGGCGACCCAGGGCACGCCCAGAAAAGCAGCAGAAAGTGTGCAGCTCCTGTGCCACCAGCAGGCAGCCCGAGGAACAGCGTGGGCACAGCCCCACAGACGAGGAAGAACCAGCGTTGTATCAACTTCGAGAAATCAGTTTTGAGTTTAACACCGCATGAACTTTGCAATTTTTGTAATACAATAATTTTTGTAGTACAAAAAGCATTAAGCCAATGCTAAGTTAGATTTCAATACAGAACAAAACAAAGCAGTCAGTCCACAAGCCGGCCCAGGGCCCTCAGGGAAAAAGAGACACATCTCAAATAACTCAAGCAAACTCATGGCTGTGGAGTTGAAGCAGACTCACAGTGACCCTAAGGGCTGGCTGGAACTTCGCCTGGGGGTTTCCGAGACCTGAACCCCTATGGAAGGAGAACGCCTCCTCTCGCTCCAGTAGAGCTGCTGGGGGTTTCAAAGCTTCTGACCTGGTGGTTAGCAGTCCAATGCCTAACGAACACCACCAGGGCTCCTGAGGAGATGTGTGGATGGACTTCAACCACGTTGAGGGATTCGCTGTAACCTGGCGTCTTGGTGGGCTCCGAGCCCGGTGCCAAGTGCCTGCTCTGGGTGACTGTCCTGGAACGACCACATCAGCCCTGGCAGGAGCTTGGCCGCTTCCCCAATCCTCGCAGAGGGGGAATCGCTCATCCAGAATAAAAGTCACACCAGGCCCAGAGCAGAGGGACGGGGAGGTGGGTGGGCAGTACCTTCAGGTTGATCCACTTCTCCAGCACCCTCTTCTCGCTGAACTGGCAGAGGAGGCCCGAGTAGGACACACAGAAAGTGTGGCCTGCCATCCGGCCCTGGCCACAGGCCACGCCACAGAAGACATTGTTGTGCAGCTCACCCAGGATCCCGGAGCGCCCGACCAGGGGCACCGTTCCTGTCACCTGGAGGTACAACAGGACACAGGGAGAGGCTGGCTGTGGCCAGAGACTGCAACACAGCGAACCAGAAAAGCAAAGGAAGTCTCTGGCGTGGGGAAGAGGAGAAACACCAGAAGACACCCTTCTGGGCTAGGCACCCGGGAACTGGGCCAGACTCCTGGCTGGGGGCCTGGCGGGGGCTGAGGGTCAGCTGGCTCAGACACAGTAGAGACCACTGCCTCCCAATCTGCGGGAGAAACTGGGGGCCTGAGGGTTATTCCCGGGGCAGAAACCTACCTTAGCTTCAGTGGAGACTTCCAAAAACCAGAACCTCACATGCCGGTTCCCGACAGTGACAAAGTAGCTGCTGTCCTCTGAGAAGGACAGGCCGATGACCCTGCAAGACACCTTGTTCGAGGCCACCACGACGTCCTTCTGGAAGAAGCAGTACAGAGAAGTTCACGCCAACACCCCATCCAACTACTCAGCACCAGGTCTCTCTGCTGTCCCCACTCCAAGCTTGCTGCCCTGGGCCCTCCGGGGAGCTGCGTTAGGGGTGGGACTCCTATTACCCACAGTGGCAGGGAAGGAGGCGGACGGAGGCTTAGATGGGGCCCACGGGAAAGTGAACTCCAGAGCTCTCCCCAAGGGCCCAAGCATTACAGGGCCCCCAGGGGGCTGAGGCCACCACCCGCAGCTATCTCTAGGGGGCTCCTGGGGTGAAGCCCTTCCCAGGGTCCCGCAGGGACTCCCTCAGCCTATGACAGGGGGAGAGCTCGGAGGGCACATCACATCTCAAGGTCACACAGTTCAAAGCAGAGCCAGGACATGACGCCACCACTTCTGTGTACTTGACACCCTCCCCCAGCTAGTCCCCAACCCGTGGACTCATCACAATCCTATTAGCACCTCCATTTTCCAGATGAAAAAATAGATCCACTTGCCCAAGTCCATAGCCGGGTAGTAAGACAACAACGCAACCATTCCACTGGCTGAGAACTTGTACTGCGCCCAACGAGATGCGCCTCAGTTCTGCACGTAGCAGGGGCGCCACAGTTGGGCTCGATGGACGAGCACTGTAAGCCCATATCTCATTTACTTCTCCAAGCCCCCAACCCAGGGTCGTCCAGATAGGATTGGCTGCAGGCCCGCCCACCAGCCCGCTGCGCCTCACCTTCCAGTCCCAGACATTGAGCACCATGTCGTGCTGGTAGCCCATGGACACGATGTGCTTCATGTTGGGCGAGAAGGACACACAGGCGACGCCATACTTGTGGCCCAGCATCTCCGCCACCTGGCTCTTCTCATCCACATCCCAGATGCGCACAGCGGGCCGATGCCCATTCTGGGAAAGGCAAGTCATTACTGCCGGGGGGGCTCCGTGGTAGGAGGGGCTGGCAAGGATCATGGGTTTGGGCTCAGCAGGGTAGCTCTCTTCCCCATCTGGCGAGGGAGCTCTCTGGCTGAGGAAGGAGCTATTTCAGGGTCCCCCGTCCCCCCCCCAGCCTGCTGAGGGCCCTTCCTCCCACACTCAGTCAGGCCTGTGGACTCACCTCCCCCGTCACTATGTACTTGCCGTCAGGTGAGAAGGCCAAAGCGCTCAGAGACTTCCTGGGGACAAGGGAAGGGCAGGTCACTGTTTCCGTTAAGGGTGGGCTGCCAGGCCCCCCCCCTCTCCCCGCATCGCCCCTCAAACAAGGCTGAGAAAACATGATGTGAGGGGGTCCCACAGAGGCCATGTGCCCAGCCCAGGGCACAATGGGCTCCCTGCAGCCATTCGCTGCCCCCCAGAGGTGTACAGTGTGAGAAACGCTGCCGAAACCCAGACAGCATATTGGTTTCTCTTGGTAATTGGCAGATCAGCATAAACCCCTAATCAGGTTGTGCCCTGATGGGTCTCTCTTGAGGGAAAACCGGCGGCCTTATCCCACATGAATTTACCAAGGAGCCATCACAGGATTTGAACTGACGGACAAACACTCAAGAAATCCAATCTGGTACTCACTTTAGTGAGAGAGAGAGGCCTTTATTGTTCCATTTTGCAAAATGGGAGACAAGCCCGGCAAAAGGGGAGGTAGGGTGGTCACCTAAGAGCCCCTCTGCGAGCATTTCATCCCCTAGAGCAGGGCTTCCACCTTCCTAAGGCTGCCTCATGCTGTGGAGACCCCCAACCCTCACACTACTTTCATGTCTGATATGCAGGATGCATTTTCACTGTTACAAATGGAACATAATCAAAGCATCGTGATTCATCACAAAAACAATGTTATTATCTATTGTGAAATATTTATTTCTAATGACAAATAAATGAAATTCTGTCTTGAAGCATGGTGCAGCATGGGTAACAGTCTTCATGCAGAGTACTCGTAGGTGGGCGGATCTGCATGTGGGTGGACCCGCCTGGAGACAGAGGAGCAGTGTCTCGGTTCCTAAGACCATCAGAAAGATGTGTTTTCCGATGGTCTTAGGCGACCCCCGTGAAAGGGTCATTCGACCCCCAAAGGGGTAATGACCCACAGGCTGAGAATAGCTGCCCTAATTCGAAAGCCCCGTGGCCCAGTTCATCATGGGGTTAACAATCTTCTCAGAACATTACCTAGGGGTTTTCTCCCACCCCTCTTCTTCACTCATCCAGCTCCCGTGTTCCACACCACAGGTGCCTGAGCTCTAGGGGCTGTCCTAACACTATCAGTTGGTGCCCTGGTCACTTAGCAACTACCTGACTCTTGCTGAAGATGGACCAGCCTGGTGACTTCTTTCTCACAACAGGGCCCTCCTTCCCTCTCCCTGTGCAGCCTTAAGAAACCTCTAGGTCCCTGAGAAATTTGAGGGCTCCTGCAAAGGGGACAGAGCGGGCTTAACAAAGGAGGTGCTGCTGACAGAAGGGCTGTGGCAGTCACACCCCCCCGGGAGGGGCCATCACAGGGCTCCGCAGTGAACCGCTCCAGGGGTCTGGGAGCCAGCAGACAACCAGAATGCGTGTCTCTGACACGCACCGGGGCGGCAGGACCGCAGGCCCTCTTGGCTAGTTGGCACGGTTTCTGGCAGCAAGTCACCCTTCAGACACTGGGGCATTTCTCGCTCCCCACTCTTTGAATGCTGTTCCTGAACGCTCTCCCCGCTTCCTCTCCCGAGGGAGTAAACTAGAATGCTGGACACTCCCAGTGAGTCACTGACGCTCTAGAATGTTTGTCATCAGGTGAACGTCCCAGGGCTGCCCCTTGCTCTTCCCTGCAGTGGGTAGGGGGAGCTGCCTACACCCCACCCTCTCGGCCCTCCTTCCCCCAATGTTAACTGGGAGGCAATGTGCCAGAGAGGGTGCTTCCTCCCTGCCCTGTGGCTCTCCAGGTGTGGTTGGTTACCTGGGGGGTTTTGCTGGATGTTCTGTGTTTGGGGGTAAAGGGGTATGAAGTGTGTAACTTATTCTCAAGGAGTTAGGAAGAAGATTAATATTTAAAGATGAGAAGGCATATGTGGTCAAATACATTTGGGAAACGTGGGTGAAAAGTACATAGGTGTCATTTGTACTATTCTTATACATTTGAAATCATTTCAATATAAAAAACGTTTTTTAAATGACCATGCTCAAGCCTCACCCCAGGACCAACTGACTCAACCTTTTCTGGCAGTGAGGCCAAAGGGTCAGGTGACTGACATGGAGGCGGGGTGGAAACCCCCTCTTGGGCCCAGGGAGGCTACCTCCACGCCATCCGCCTCAGAGGTCAGGGTTAGTCGACCCACAGCCTGCAGGGATCACCAGGGAGGCCACAGGGACAAGAGGGCCTCTGACAAATGCCACTGAGCGCCAGCCCATCGCTGCCACGGGGGTTTGCAGGTCCCAGCGGCGGGGTCTCTCATTTTTCCAAAGTAAGAGTGGCATCGAGATCTGTGTGTGTGTGTGTGTGTGTGTGTGTGTGTGTGTGTGTGTGTGTGAGTGTGTGTAAGGGGGGTTTGAGGGGGGGGTTTCACAATTTTAGACTAGTTCCCACCTTTAAAACACACTGTGCTGGTCAAACCACAAGCGTGTGGGCCTCTAGTTTGCACTCGGGTCCAGGGCATTCTCATCACAGGAGGGAGCTATTGCACGTCGGAAGAGGCCAAGGCAAGGGCGAAGGGTCTTGGCTGGTTTCACCGTTAATAAATGCTTGGGATGGGACTAGAAACCGGCTCGGCCTTCACACCAGGGCTGGACTTCACAGGAGCCAAGGGCCTGGGAGCCCCTTGTAAGAGGGCCTCTGGACCCTTCCTGTGACATCTTGGCAACCATGAAATCCCACGCCCTCTCTGTCCGCCTGGAGAACAGGGATTGTGGGGGCTGGACCTGAGTTACGCCAAGGAGAGGGAGTGCCTCCTAAGGTTGGATGGTCAGCAAACTCTCGGGACCACACCCCAGATGACCCAGTGACTGATCCATGCCAAGGCAGAATCCCAGCCAAGGGCCTTCCCCAGTCACCTGGGAGACTCTGAGAAGGGTTCTGGACTGGGCAACAGAGGCTGGCTCCACAGTTGTCCCTGACCCTCCAGCAAATGCAGGGCAGCTGGCCTGGTCCCCACCAACTTCTTGCCTCCTTACTGTTCCTCTGTTCTGTACTCTTTACCAAAAGGCAAGTAGCTGCAGCTCGCCTTAAAAAAAACCTTATGCTCCTTCATTTAGGAAACAGGAAGTGCCATCAGGATGCTGTACATTGCTCGAAAGATGGGGGTCACAGAAGTCCCCCGCCCTCAAAGAGCTCATACTGGAAGAGGGTGACAGGCTAAATGCCATCCACTAGGAAGAACAGCACAGCAGAAAGAACCAGCTTCGGAAGCGGGAGCTGTGGGGCATGGAGAGCACATTGCTGGGCCGGACCTGCCCGCCCTCTAGGGGCTTGGCTTTGAACTCTGTGCTAGCCAACTTCCTCTGCAGCCCTAAGGTCCAAGGGTGACCAGCCTCATCCCTGGGTCCCGCTCTATCGCAAGAACACAAATCCTCGGCTGGTCCTTAAGCCACTCAAAGTCCTGAACCACCACAGGGCCTTTGCCCTTCCTGTGCCCCACCTGCCTAAGGATCTGACGGAACCTGGGCCCGACAGGGCTTTCCACTCACCCTCGGCCCACAGAGCTGCCCTGACACAACTCCATCATTTCCTCCACAGCTAGCAACCTGCCTACTGGTTTGCCATCCGCCTCCCCCTCTAAGCTGTCAGGTTTTTTTGTTTTGTTTTTTTTTACATTTTATTAGGGGCTCATACAACTGTTATCCCAATCCATACACACATCAATTGTGTAAAGCGCATTTGTACATCGTTTCTCAAATCATTTTCTCTCCATTTAAATCCCCGACATTAGGTCCTCATTTTTCCCCTCCCTCCCCGCTCCCCCCTAAGCTGTCAGTTTTATGAAAGCCGGGACTCTGGTCCCCTGCATCCACTGTGTGCCACCCAAAGGAGGACCTGACACAAAACAGGCCCTGGGAAACATCGCTGAACGGATTGGGTGAGTTGCGTGATGAGCCATAAACCCAGAACCCTCCAGGCTGTGGGGAAGGGGGTGTATGGGGTCCCTGGCCCACCCTTATCCCATGCCCAGGCCCCAGCCTACCTGGCAGTATTAAAGATATGCTGCTGCTTGTTCTCCTTGGGGTCCAAAATCACCACCACACAGCTGCCAAGAAAGAGGAAAGTGAGCCCAAACTCGGGGCGGGGCAGCACGGGGAGGTCAAGGGAGGATTCTGGTCCCTGCAGCAGAGCCCACACACAGAAGCTCCCTCCAACACAAGCTTCTCTCTCCCTCTCTTCCAGAGTGCGCACACTAAAGATTCTAGGGCACCGATCAATAGGATTATATGCTTTTTTTATATATTAAAAGATCATTTTATTTGGGTTCTTATAGCTCTTGTAACAATCCATACATCAATTGTATAGACCATATTTGTACTTATGTTGCCATCTTTATTTTCTAAACATTTACTTTCTATTGAGCCCTGAGCAGTTCCTCTTTCCACCACCACCCACATCCTCAAGACCCCTTCATCAACTATAAATTACTATTATTTTCACCCCTTACACCAACCAGTCTCCCTTCCCCCATGGTTTCTGTAGTTTGTCCCCCTGGGGTTGTGGAGGTTATGCGTTGATCATTATGATCGGTTCACCTTTCCTCCCCTACTCTCCTCACCTTCCCCTTACCCTCCTGGTAGTGCCACTCCCACTCCTGTTCCTGGATTCCATTTGTCTCGAGCTCTTATCTCTTATCTGTACGTGTGCACCGGCTCCAGTCTAACCCACAGTGGAAGGCAGGACCGGGACATGATAGTGGGGGGCGAGGAAGCCTCAAAGAACCAGAGGAATATTGTGTGTTTCATCAGGGCTGTACTGCACCCTGGTTGATTCATTCCCCCTTCCTTATGACCCTTCTGTGAGGGGATGTCCCATTGTCTACAGATGATTTGGGTCTCTGCTCTGACCCCCTCATTCTCAATAAATGTTTTTGTTTGTATGTTTGTTTTGGGTCTCCTGATGCCTGTTACCCGATCCCGTTGAATGATAATATTCTGAAGGAGAATCCAATACACCCACTCCTCACACAACCATCTTGTTACCTGACGTTTTGCATGTATGACAATAGCAGAGAATCCACTCACTACCTGACAACTCTGTACCTTCGTCTGGGTTTCTTCCCCGCATCCAAATCCCGGCCGACTGTCAGTCAGGCCCAGGCGAAGGCCTCTTGCCGCCCCACCCACCCACCTGCCGGAGCCACAGGAGCAGCTCATCTTGTGAAAGAAGGACTGAGAAGCGGACAGAGGGGATCAGGAGGAGGCGGGGGCAGGGGAGGCGGCTGCTGCTCCTCCCCTCTACTAAAAAAACTGCCTGGACCGACCAAGTCCCACAGCGGAAAGAGTCCTGGGGGGAAATCGGGGCCTGGGGGCTGCAGCAGAAGCCAGCCTCACCAATGACATTAACTTCTGGCCTCCCCCGAGGTCACCAACTGGGCCTCTGGTGCAGCTGCCAGGCCCCAGGTCCACTTAAGTGCCAACCTAGCAACAGAGCCTTATGACCCAGGGCCAAACGCGGCCGGGAGCAGAGCAGGTCTGAGGGCCCAGGCACCTCCGTGCCTTCTTCCTCCTCACGACGACCTAACCATGTCACCCATGAGGAGTGGGTGTGCTTCTTTGTGGTCACTAGTCTACTGGGCCCTGGGTTAATAAACTTATGTTCTTAAATCTTCACAACTGCCAGGTGAGGCTGGACTCCAGGCCATTTTAGAGAGGAAGGAACTGAAGGTCCGGAGAGGAAGTGCTCTGGCCAGGGTCACTCAGCAGGTCAGAGCAGGGATGTGAATCCTCCACACCTATCAGGGTCAGAAACCCACATTCTTGTCCTCTATGCTGGACTGCTCCCAGACACTCCCAGACTGAGTTAGTTAATTGTGCCAATCTGGCCGATAATCAGGTGTGGGGCTAATTGAAAGGTGGAGGGATAAAGGGGTGGTGAGCCTCGCCTTTCTAGTTCTCAGGTTTCTTGCTTTGTGATGGTCGCACCAGGGTGCAGCTGCCTTAGCAGTTCCCTGCTTCAACTTGCAAGATTGACTTCCTACAAGACATCCCCAAGGAGAAGCCACATGGACCTATCCCGATGCAGCCCTGGGTGCTGGAGCAGCAGTGTGGAGACCCCTGCTAGTGCTGAGATGCTTATTCGTTCACTGACTCAGCTTTCCTCCTGCAGTCGGCATCATTGCCTCTGTTTTGTGAGGTGGAGGACTTTGTGGACTGGTGTTGGGTTAATGTTGGACTGGTGGGCATGGGCAGCATTGGGTTGGGATGTTTTTGTGATGCACTTTCTTTACATAAAACTATCTTATACATGAGTTGCTGTGGATTTGTTTCTCTAAAGTACCTAGACTAATACACAGACAGACACTGGTCAATGAGAATGGCTATGGGCCAGCAAGGAGCCCCTTCAGCGAATGCCAGGCTAACACAGCATGCCAGGCAGACGTGCTGTAGGGGCGTCTTCCTTCTTGCAACCACCACGATAGGGCTTCACCAGCTTCGCTTACAGAGACAGCGGCATGTGTGGCAGGGATGAGACCTGGATTCAGGCTCCCAGACACCACAGCTTGGGTCTAAACCACCTGTCTCTCCCCGAACCACTGCGCTCTCCCACCTGCAGTCACCATTAAGGACTTCCTAGCCCACCGTATGTGCCAGGTACTGTTCCAGACACTGATGGGCCTGGGGGCTTCTCTCCACAGCCCTCAGACGTGGGCAGCAGTATCCACATGCTGCAGACAGGGAAGACGGTGCCCAGAGAGATTAGCCCTGAGTCCACATTCCCCAGCAGTTACTAGAGGGGGAGGGGCACCCATTTGCTCACCCTGCCAGGTAGGCCACATGGCCAGTGCCAGGGTCACAGGTTAAGCCGCTGCTGTTCTGGGCCGTGATGCCGAGCACCTTCTCGAGTGACACCTGTGGAGAAAAGGCCAAGTCAGAAGCATTCGGTCCCAGCAGGTCAGTTCCCCGGGTTCAACACAGTCTGGCCGAGCTTCAGGAGTCATGCTACCAGGAACAAGTGTTGGTTCCTCCGAATTCCTTTGACAACAACACATCAACACAGAGTGGGAAGACAGACCAAATCCCTGTTTTCCGGAAGCTTCTATTCTGATAGGGTCGAGTGGAAGACAGAAAGTAAAGAAGACAAATGTGTAAAATACAGGTCAGGTGACGAGAGGAGCATGTAGCAATGGTGTGGGGCATGGCGTCTGATCTCCTCTGGCTTCACGAGTGGGCCGGAGAATCGCCGCTCTTGGCAGCCCAAGGCCAAGTCCCGAGCACACTGTGGAGGGGCAGTTGGCGTCAGAATTGGGGGAAAGGTTGGCAGTTGCCATGTGCCCTACTCTTCAACCTTTTTACCAATTCTGACAATAAGTGTCCCTCCCTCCCCACTATGGCATTCTTCTGTGAAGAAGTCCCGCCATCTTTGCCTCTAAGGAACATTGTGGCCGTACTTCTTCCATGATAGATTTGGGTTTTTGGCAGTCCATGGCACTTTTTTTTTTTCACGTTTGTTGATTTTTATTCATAATCTCTTTTTCAATACAATTTACAATCTTGTCCCCACTCCCAGACTCAATATACAGGTGCTAAGTGGCAGAGAGGCCTGGAATAAATACATCCCCAAACCGGTAGAGCTGTGGAGCTAAGTGCATGCAACAGCTTCTATGAGAGCGGGATGCTGGGGAAGGTGTCGTGGAAATCGAAGAGGAAGACAAGGTAAATGGAAGGTTTGAGCACAAGTTCGTTCATTCATCCTTGTCTTTTGCTCCGTGTTTAAGGATGCGCGTGAACTCGATGTAATTGAAGTTCCCCTTTTTGTCAATGGGTGCTTCTCTGTACAGCTCCTCCACTTCCTCATCCGTGAAGCGATCTCCCATGGTCGTCAGCAGCTCTCTCAGGTAATCTTCCTGAATGGTGCCTGTTGCTTCTTCATCGAAGCAGGCAAAAGCATTTCTGATGACATCATCCGGATCGGTCCCGTTCAGCTTCTCCCCAAACATCGTAAGGAACATGGTGAAATTGATGGGGCCTGGAGCCTCGTTCATCATGGCGTCCAGGTATGCGTCAGTTGGATTCTTCCCAAGAGAGGCAAGCATATCATGCAGATCCTCCTTGTCGATGAAGCCATCTCGATTCTGGTCGATCATGTTGAAGGCCTCTTTGAACTCCTGAATCTGTGACTGGTCAAACATGGCAAACACATTGGATGTTGCGCGCTGAGGGCGCTTCTTGGTGGTCTTGGTCTTTGCCTTTTTGCTCGACGTGGCGGCTGTTTGGGTAGTTCAATGCCAGACACGAGATGGGGAAGCCCGGAGCGGAGCGAGCAGCGACGGTGGCAGGTTGGGTCCGGGCGCCCCATGGTACTTTCAATAGTCTTCACCAGCACCATTAATTTGAACACATGGATTCTTCTTCGGTCTTCCTTATTCAGTGTCCAACTTTCACATGCATATGAGGTCATTGAAAATCCCATGGCTTGGGTCAGGAGCACCTTAGTCCTCAAAGTAACCTCCCTGCTTTTCAACACGCTAAAGAGGTCTTCTGCAGCAGATTTACCCAATGCAACACGTCCTTTGGTTTCTTGACTGCTGCGCCCATGAGCACTGATTGTGGAAGCGAGATTAAATAATACCACCAGGGCTTAAGGACTGCTAAAATACATAAAGCTGTATTAACTGACCCATTGCTCCCTCAATTCAGTCACTATCATTATTCCATCCTCAATTGAAAAAGCAGCTAGAGGGGTAAGTAACTCTAGCCTCGAGGGAGACAAACCAGGCAGCCTGGCAGCACGCCCCCTCCCCTGCCCCCATTGCTGGACGGATTGGTCACTTTAGAGACTGGGTCATTTTTAGATGCCATCTTTTGCAAGCCAGAGAGACTCCGTGTACCCAGACAAGAAAAATAGTTGAACCTCTATGATTTCAAAATACACAATAACAGCAGCAGCAGACAGGGATGCTAATAGAGTAACTGCCATGTGCCAGGCCCTGCGAGCTCATCGAATCCTTGCAAAGGCCCTAGGAGAGAGGGTGCACAGCATGATCCTAGCTGTGCACAGGCAGAAATGCAGGAAGCGAGAAGTGCAGAACTTGACGGGCAGGACAAACTTAAGAGTGCAAGCCCAGGCAGTCTGGGGCTGGCGGTCTGCTCTCACCAGTCCCCTACATGTCCAGGCAGGTAGTGTAAGGGCTCACAAGGCATTTTCAGGAACTCCCGAGAGAGCAGTCTCTGGAGAATGACGTCACGCTTGGGAAAGTAGAGGGGTAGTGAAGAGGACGACCTTGAAAGACAGATGGACACAGCGGCTGCCACAATGGACTCAAGCAGAACAACTGTGAGGCTGGCCTAGGACCAAACAGTGTTTCGTGCTGTTGAACTCGAACTGACTCGATGGTACCTAACAACAACTATAACACAGCAACAACATGATAAGTGCGGTGAAGAGCAAGGGGATGGATGGGAGATTAAGGAGGCTGTCTGCTTTAGATAGGAGATGGCCTCTTAGGAGAGGGACAGTCAGGCTGATCCTGGAGGAACAAAAACAAACCAGTCAAGTGGACTGTGGCAAAAAGCCCAGGCAGAGGATTCCCCCAACACAAAGGCCAGGAAGCAAGGAGGTGCTTAGAGCCTCAGGGAAACAAAGAAGATTGGCAGAGTGGCAGAGCCTTGGTGACAGCCAGGTGCAACAACCAGCCACTGTTCCAGGCTCTGTGGGCACCAGTGAGGTGGGGCTACTACATTCAGCAGTCTAGATTCCATACAGCAGGAAGCTGCTTATAGGAACCTTGAACAATTCATACACAATTGTAATTTCGTGTCATGGACAGCCTCCCCACAATGTAACATCATGCACCCATCACTTTCTCCCCGTGCTTCCTGTTTGCACCCAACCCGTGGTGGGTTTGAACGCCAACTCCTGGTTGGCAGCCCAAGGCTTAACCAGCTGCGCCACCAGTGCTCCTAAACTATGGCTCCTAAGGATTCAGCAGGGTGAGGCCCACAACAGTGCAAAGGGAGAAAGGTCTAAAGGTGAGTGCGTTGCGCTGGAGGGAAAAAAGACTCTGCGAAGGCCCCAAGGAGTAGGGGTGGGCTCTGGGGTTGAGGTGGGCCACGAATGACGAGCAAGCTTCCAAAAGGAAAGTGGGCGGGACCTGGGAAACAAGGCGGGGCCAGGAAGCAGCTGGAGGGCAGGAGCCCGGGACTGCTAGGCGAGACCGAAGGTCTGAGGGCAGGGCCCGGGAGACCCCGGGGAGCCTGGAACTGGGGTGCGGAGGGCGGTTAGCTTCTCACCCGGCTCTGTACCGTGTCCTCCGGCGCCCCGGTGAGCCGCGTCCGCCGCCGAAGGCAGAGCGCTGGGGCCGGGGGCGGAGAGGACTGGCCCCTTCGCGCCGGAATCCCCGCCGTGGCAGATGACAGTTTCTCGGCCGCGTAGCCTCCGGGGCCCAAGGCCGCCATTGTCGCACCGGGACCGGGCGCCGGTTGCGCCCCTCAACTGCCGCAGTCGCCGCCGCTACCCACTCGAACAGCAAACGGCCGCGGGAAACCCGGCGCCTCCACTCATTGGATACAGCGGGCCGCCGGGCTGGCCAATCGCAGGGCTGCCCGGGCGCACCTCTGACCAATGAGGGATAAGGGGCGGGGTGGAGTCTCCTGGAAGGTGGGGCCTCCGCTGAGGTTACAGCCTCAGTGCCTGCGTCCTTCGTGCGCAGGTCTGGGGTGCTTTTCCTCGTTTGTGTCTTTATCTTTGTAATTTACGAGGGAAGGCCATAACCTTCGTCATCACGCTTTGGGCAGCCGCCCTGACCGCCCCACCGCCGCGGGGCAGCCGGCCGGATGTAAGTGGCTGGAAGAACCGGAAGAGACGGACAAGGCATTTGGTTGGCGCAAGCGCAGAAGTGCCATGCTCCCTGTGCGCCCACACGTGATGCCAGTCAGGACCCGGAGGAGGCCGCTTTGCACCGAGATCATTGATTTTCCTCAGCGTTCTCCTCGTCACGGACTGCGGGGGGACGTGCGGGGCGCCTGGTACGCAGGCATCCTCTCCCCTATCCCCGCACGTAAGGAGGCCCAGGGCGGATCCGGGGACCCGAGGGAAGACTCAAGTGTGACCCTTAACCCCAGCCGGGCCGCAGGGCCCAAGTACTGCCTGGCTCCGAACGACTAGGGCGTGGAAAGTGCTTCCGCTAGTGGGCGCTAGTGCGCGGTGAAGCTCGCCGAGGGGCGTGGCCCCGGGGGCGGGGCTGAAGTTAAGCACCGCCAGGTGATGCACCTGGAGCCCTTAGCGAGTGCCTAGCAAAAGTAGCGGTTAACGAAGTGAGGAGAAGGTGTTCCTTATAGCCAGTACCGCACATGCGGAAGTGCAGGTGCGTGGAAATGCCGCGGTAGACAACCAAGTCCAGATAATGAAGGGGGCGAGCGCCCTGGGTACGTAAGGAACTGAGTGTGGACCAGGCTCTGTTAAAGCCCGCAGGCATCTGAAACAAGCCATCCAAAACTGAGCTCCTAATCCTGTCTCCTCGAACCCTTCCAGAGCTTTCTCCATCTCAGTTAATCGCTTATTCTATCCTTCCAGATGCTCAGAGTAGAAACCTTTTTTTTTTAAACAGCAATTCTGTTTATTTTCATTATTGGCTATGACCTCCAAAACAATGCTGAAATGTGGGGATGGCGGGCATTGTTGTCCTGTTCTGGACAACATAGGTAAAGCTTTTAACATTTAATGATTGAAAATAACATTTGTTGTGGGTTGTTTATAGATACTCCTTATCTATAAGGTTAAAAAAGTTCCCTTTCATCCTGGGTTTGTTTGTTTGTCTTCCCCCATTGGTGCTAATGTTTATCAAATACTTCTGCATGAACTAGCACTGTCATTTTATTCTTTTTTTTATCAATTTATTGGGGCTCATACAATTCATCACAATACATAGATCAATTGTATAAAGCACATCTATACATTTGTTGCCCTCATTTCCAAAATTTGCTTTCCTTTTGGGTTCCCGGAATCAGCTCATTTTCCTTTTTTCCCCTCCCCCTCCCTTCTTCCTCCCCTCTCCCCCATGCACCCTTGATAATTTATAAATTATTATTGTATCTTATATTACACTGCCCGGCATCTCCCTTCACCCACCCCTCTGCTGCCCTTCCCCCAGAGGGGAGGTTATATGTAGCTCCCTGTGATCAATTCCCCCTTTCTACACCCTCTTTCCCTCCTGGTATCGCCACTGTCACCCCTGGTCCTGAGAGGTTCATCTGTCCTAGATTCCCTGCGTTTCCAATTCCCATCTGTACCACTGTGCATCATCTGGTCTAACCAGGTCTGCAAGGCAGAATTGGGGTCCTGGTAGTTGGGGGTAGAAACCTTTTTTTAAAAATCATTTTATTAGGGGCTCATATAACTTAGCACAATCCATGTATACATCAATTGTGTAAAGCACATTACATTCATTGCCCTCATCATTCACAAAACATCGGCTCTCCGGATTAGAAACCTTACGACTTATCTTTACCTCTTCTCTTTCCTCACAGAGAAGAGAAATTTAAAATAAAACTTAGAAAATAAAATTGAGCTGCAATAACAAATTGTCCCCAAATCTCAGAGGCTTACCACAACAAACGTTGATTTTTCACTCACACTTTACAGATCATTTGTGGCTCTACTGTCCACTGATGGGCGATGGAGGCTGAAGGAGCCACCCCTTCTGAGAATGTGGCTAGTCTGAGAAGAAAAGGCAGGGGACGGTGGCAGTAGGTTCTAGGAAATTTGACGTTCAGAAGTGACGCAGGTCACCTTCGCTCAACTTCATTTCACTTCATAGGGGGAAGGGTAGGATATTTCAAAAATAATACACTACCATCGGCTGATTTTTTTTCTTCATTAAAACAAATACAGTGGTTGGCAGACCAGCACTGGCATGGTGGCTTCACCGTCATCCAGGATGAGGTTCTGTCTGTCTATCTTCTGCTCCGTCCTTAGCATGCAGCTTCCACAAGTCAGCACCTTGTAGTCTTCATACCCACATTTCAAGGAGAAAGAAGGCAGAGCAAAATGGGCACACCTCCAAACCCAGTCCTCTTTACCAAGCCTTCCCCACGCAGTGGCTTCTTTAAATTTTGAAGGAGCCCTGGTGGCATCCTGGGTGCTGAGTTTGGCTCCTAACTGCAAGGTCAGCAGTTTGAAACTGCCAGCCCCTACAAGGTAGAAAGACGAGGCTTTTTACTTGTGAAGATGAAGGGTTTTCGGACCCACAGGGGCAGTTCTACTCTATCCTATAAGGGGCCTATGAGTCGAACTTGACTCAATAACTGAGTTGTGCAGAAATTTAGAGTTGTTCTCCTATACTGGTAGTGGGACCGTAAAACTGGTTGTCCACTGTGGAAAGTGGCATGACGCTTCCTCAAACAATTGGGAATAGAAGTACCATATGACCCAACAATCATGCTACTTGGTCTATATCCTACAGAAATAAGGAGCACAACACAAATGGTTGTATCCACACCCCTGTTGTTGTAACACTATTCACAACAGCAAGCTGGAAACAACCACCAGTGGGAGAATGGGAAAATACACTTTGGTGTACACACACGGTGGAATACTACACGGCGCTAAAGAATAGGAAATGGAGACACCTCGTGACATGGATGGATTTGGAGGACAGTTTGCTGAGTGAAATTCGTCAATCACAAAAGGACAAATTTTATGAGACTAATGATATCAAAAAATTTTTTTAAGGTTTTCATACAATAAGAAACCAACTGTTGGTTACCAGAGGGTTGGGGGTGGGCGGGCAAGTGTGAACCTAGGTGGAAGGAAGACAATATCTTAAGATGAGAAACAAAGGGAGGGTGCGAATTAAGACAAGGCAGGAGGAGGATTGATAGGTTGTTTTGATTGTTGAATGCAAAAATGATCTGATCTGTCAACTCACACCTAATTTACAATAAAAAAATGAGTGAAAAGCTTTATTTTTCAACTTAATAAGAAATTTTCACTCCTGTTATTAAGGAAGAAGTTAAGAACTAGCAGTGTATGCCACTTCATGTTAGACTGCTAATCGCAAGGTCAGCAGTTCAAAACCACTAGCTCTTCCGTGGGAGAAAGATGAAGCTTTCTATTCTTGTAAAGTGTTAGCAGTGGTTCTCAACCTTTCTAATGCCGTGACCCTTTAACACAGTTCCTCATGTTGTTGTGACCCCCAACCATAAAATTATTTTCGTTGCTACTTCATAACTAATTTTGCTATTGTTATGAATCGGTGACCCCTGTGAAAGGGTCATTCAACCCCCAAAGGGGTCAAGACCCACAGGTTGAGAACCTCTGTGTTACAGTCTCAGAAACGCACACGGTTTCTCCCCTACCCTATAGGGTCACTATGAGTCAGCATTGACTTGATGGCAGTTTGTTTGGTTTGGGTTAGAATTTGAACCAGACTAAAATATTCTACAAAAGGGAGGAAACTAGCTGCCAACCTCAGGTGGGTCTTTAAACGAGGTTTAAATCAAAACTAAGCCAGTTGAATTGTTTTGTTTTTTTTGTTTTGTTTTTTAACATTACCAGGTATCTTCTGAGAGAACCTTCGGGTAGACTCAGCTACCAACCCTTCAGTTGGCAGCCAAACACATGAACCACTTGACCACCCAGTGTCTTCTAAAGAGGAGTGTTCACATCGTCAGTATCGCCAACAAGAGGAACAAACCGGTAAGAACAAGACCAAATTTGTCAGCGGTTTATGTGATACTCACTCTCCTCCTTTGCCCGTCGGCTGCTGTGATTCCATCTGAGAACCCCTCCTACTTATGCACCACCGTCAGGCGCCCCTCCGGCCCCAAAGCATTCATTGAGCAGAAAACTGAGTGCCATGGTCCCACTTAGCTGCAAAAGAGACCTGAAAGGCTAGTCTTTTAGCAGAGCACATTGTGGCTCCATTACAGCCAATTGAATAGTCGTTTGGCAATCCCTGCCAGGAAGGGGGTGGGGAGTGCTGCTGTAAGAGACTCAGAAAGAACCGGGCTGACGGGAGCATTTGGATTCCAGACAGAGGCTGCAGTGACTGCAGCCGTCAGAATAGATCCTCTGGCCCTGTGCCTTGAGGTTCTGCTCTCTGAGTGCCTTAGCCCTTCTCAGAGTCGTCATTGGTAACTTCTTTAGTTCGTTCCCTGGTGTGTATAGCCCAGTATTTTTATTATGCAAATGTGCTCCTATCTACAACAGAACAAAACACTACTCAGTCCAGAGCCTTCCTCATAGTGGTTCTGTCTGTGCCCGGTGTGGCAGCCAGACCCTCCACTTCGGTGGTTCTCCACCTTCCCAATGCTGTGACCCTTTCAGACAGTTCCTCATGGGGTAGTGACCCCCGACCATGAAATTCTTTTCATTGCTACTTCATCACTGTCATTTTGCTACTGTTAGGAATCGTTATGTAAATATCTGATATGCAGGATGTATTTTCATTGTTGCAAATTGAACATAATTAAACATAATTACAGCACAGTGATTAGTCACAAAAAATATGTAATTATACCTTGTGAAATATTTAATGTGTTTTCCGATGGTCTTAGGCGACCCCTGTGAAAGGGTCGTTCGCCTCCCAAAGGGAGCTGCTCTGCTTTACCAAGCATGGTGTCCTTATCCAAGGACCGGTCTTTCTGCGTAACACGTGAGACAGAGTTCTATCACCTTTGCTTCTAAGGCGCATTCTGGCACTCTGAGACAGATGTGTGTGTTCTTGGGCTGCCCACGGTACTTTCAGTAAGCTTTGTCAACACCATCATTCAAATGCAGCGGTTCTTCTCTGGGCGTCCTTCCTCAGAAGAGATGCTATTCTCCCTTTTCTTCCTGTATGAGTTTCCTGAAGCTGCAGTAACAAACTTTAGTGTCAGAACAGCAGACATCTAAGCGTTCACATTTGCACAGGTGAGAAATCCAAATCACTGTACTGACATGAAGGTGCTGGCAGGGCCACACTCCCTGGACGCATCTAAGGATGAATCTGTTTCTTCTTCCACCTTCCGGTGGCTGCAGGCTTCTCTGCCTTGGTGATCACATTGCCTTAACCTCTTCTGTCTCTGCTAATACATAGCTCCCTCTGCTTGTTTTGGGCATAGTTGTGGCTGTATTTAGGGCCCACCCAGAGAATCCAGAATGATCTCAAAAATCCGTAATTTACTCACATCTTTTATCAGGTACATTGACAGTTTCAAAAAATTAGGATATTGGAGGTGGGGCTGTTTTTAAGCCTACCGTGGTTACTAAAAGCTGCTATACTCTATTTGGAACCTCGTGATTTCTCACATATGTTCAACTGCAGCATGTCAGCTTACATGCGGTATGGTTGTTAGGCGCCATCAAGCCGGTTCCGACCCATGGCAACCCTATGCACAATAGCATGAAACACTGCAAGGTCTTGCTCCATCCTTATCGTTGTTCCTGTGCCTGAGCCCTTTGTTGTAGCCACTGTGTCCAGGACTGGTCTTTCCTGTATGATGCCCAAAGTACATGAACCAAAGCCTTGACACCCTTGCCTCTAAGAAGCATTCTGGTCATACTTCTTCCAGGACAGATTGGTTTGTCCTTTCAGCAGCCCATGATACTTTCAATATTCTTTCCCAGCACCACGATTCAAACACATCAGTCCTCCTTCAGTCTTCCTTATTCAGTCTCCACCTTTCACAGGCATATGGGCCAATGGAAAATACCATAGCTTGGGTCAGATGAACCTTAGTCCTCAAAGTAACATCCTTGCAACAGATGGGGCAGTTACATAATCTGGTGTCAATTGGAGGATTAAGAGTGAAGGGGTGGAGTCTAGCCTGTCAATCAGGATATAGCTAAGAGGCCTCTGTGTGGGCATGGCCTTCTCTTGAGGATTTTGGGAACCTTGTGTATTTCCTTCTTGGAAGCAGGAGACACTTTCTTTTGGCTCACTCCCTGCAAGACATTTCTGAGGAGAAGCCACATGAAAGTACCTTGAGGCAGTCAGAGTTTCAGAGCCAAAGTGTTAGAGTAAACCAGCCTCTAACAACCGCAGGGTCCATAGGCACAATTGTATGGTTATAATATATCAAGATCATAGTAAAGTCATAGGAGATAGGAGAGAGAGTGAAATAAAGGAGTCAGACACATTTCATGGTAGCATGCTCACCTCTGGGGCAGCCATGATCCCAGCAGCCAGGTCCAAGCAGAGAGAGTAGGGTCTTTACTATCTTGGGATATTTATAGGCAGCCATAAGACATGCATACTCAGTAGTTACATCTGTCACAAGGTGGGTGGTAATTACAGTAAGGTCCCTGAGCTCACAGGTGAGGAAACCTAATACCTGCATTGGGGGAAGGCATGAGGGGGATGGGTGCCGTGGTGGGAGGAGATAAGAATGTCTGCTTTTATAGGGAGGTAGAATCAACCATGTGCTCACTTTAAGACAGCATAGCTGTTAGGGGAGAATCTGTGGGAAGGACATTTAAAGCAGGATGATGTACTTGGACTTAATCTCTAACTTACCAAAGTGGTGGCTTTCCTATCGTGGAATACCAGCTTTCCAGATTCCCTCTGTTATAAGTTAGGGAATATAGTCCTCATCATATTTCCCTTAGTGTTAGTTTCCCACACGGAAGGAGCCATGTGGAGACCCCTGCCAGCACTGAGATGCTTACAGTGCCACTGGATCCACAAGATTTCAAACCCCCTGACCTGTGATCTTCCTGTATTTGGGGTCATTGCATGTGTTTTGTGAGTCTGAAGAGGACGTTATAGATTGGTATTGGACATATGGGCTAATATCAGACTTTTGGACTTGATCTGGACTGGGCTGGGATGTTTTCTCAATATTCAATTGCTCTTGTATATAAAGCTCTTTCTTATACACGTGAGTGTCTATGAATGCGTTTCTCTAATCAACCCAGACTAACACAACAGACTTTCCCAATGCAACTCATCTTTTGATCTCTTGACTGCTGCTTCCATGACCATTAATTGTGGATTCAAGTAAGACCAGATCCTTGACCATTTCAGCCTTTTATTTATCATGATGTTATCTAACAGTCTAGTTGTGAGGATTTTGGTCTTCCTTACATTGAGTTGTAATCCATACTGAGGGTTACAATCCTTGAGCTGTATTAGAGCTGTGTAATATTTCTGAGTGTGGGTTTGCTTATCTTTATTTGCCCTTTCCCCTACAGATGGCATTTCTCCCCAGTCTCTAACATTCATTGAACCCAGTTGTGGTCAGGTCAACTCCATGGCAAAGCAGAGCTAGTGTTCTGTGGGGTTTTCAGGGGCTGATTTTTCAATTAATTACTCTTTCTTTTTAACAGAACAGAAAGCTGGCCTCAGACTCACAGCTCTGGTATCTTGACAGGTTTTGATAATGATCCCTTTTGATTTTATGGTTGACTACTGTGGGTTGTGTTAAGTAGCATTCTCTATTTTATATTTAGGTTTTCTTTTTTCTTTTTAAATAAATCATTTTATTGCGGGCTCTTACAGCTCTTTTTAAAAAAAAATATTTTAATGGGGACTCGTATAATTCTCATCACAATCCATACATACATCCACTGTGTCAAGCACATATGTACATTCGCTGCCCTCATTCTCAAAACAATTGCCCTCCACCTCAGCCCTTAATATCAGTTGCTCATTTCCCCCCTCCCTCCCCACTCCACCCCTATATTTAGGTTTTCATATCCATTGCAATGGCTACACAGAATTCACAGACAAAATTTAAAATTAGAAGATTTATTATGGAAGTTAACAGGTTGTGGAAAGCAGGTTGTCCCCCCATATTATATGCCAAACCTAAGGTGCTGCTTGCTAACACATGGTCAATGACTATACACTTGGAGGCCAACTGCTTAAAGGGTATCTGCCTAAGGGTATGAGCCATTTATGTGAGATTATAAAGAGACTTTTCCCCTAGCTTTGTCTCCCCCAAAGATATGCCAGACATTAGAGGCTATTTGACAGCACATAGTGGGAGGTCAGATACATTTCTGCCTTCAGACTACTGTCTGGTCCTACCACAAATGGTGCCCAACGTGGGGTAGTAGGAAAAGAACTCTTTTGAGTTATAACCCATGTAGCAGTTGTATGACCCCACCGGAATGTAGAGTGAATTGGGAAACTGTGTGAATTGAGCATCCAATGTGGGGATTAGCAGATTAGTAGTGGAAACAGTGAATGAGTATATTAAAGAGGAGGAGGTAGTTAGTTTATTGTGCCAACCTGGCCAATAAACACATGTGGGGTTACTTGAAGGGCAGAGAGATGAATGGCTCCAGTGAGCCTCACCTTTCGAGTTCTCGGGTCTCTTGCTTTGTGATGGTCGCACCAGGGTGCAGCTACCTTAGTAGTTCCCTGCTTCAGCTGGCAAGGCTGACTTCCTGTAAGAAATCCTCAAGGAGAAGCCACATGGACCTACCCCGATGCAACCCTGGGTGCTGGAGCAGCCTGTGGAGACCGCTGCCAGAGCTGAGATGCTTACACATTCACTGATTCGGCTTTCCTCCTGCTGTCGGCATCATAGTGTGTGTTTTGTGAGATGGAGGAGGACTTTGTGGACTGTTGTTGGACATATGGATTAATGGGTTAATGTTGGACTTGTGGGCTTGGGCAGCACTGGGTTGGGATGTTTTCTTGATGCGCACTTAACCTTTATATAAAACTCTCTCTTGTACGTGAGTTTCTGTGGATTTGTTTCTCTAAGG